TGTCTTCAGATAACCCAGAGCTTTGAGCAGAAGTGGCTTGCAGCCACAGGTAAGATTGCCCCCAGGCGCTGGAGAAGAATGGGTGCTCCCGGGTTAAGCACAGCCAAATGGTTCTCTTTTCTAGGACTTTGATCCAAAACTGCAAAGACTGGTGGACTCACCTCACCTTTAGCACTAGGTAGCTCTACCCGACAGGATGCGAGGAACCTGTAGTCACGTGTAAAGATAACCCAAATTGTTTAGTGTGTGCATACAAAAAGGACTTTTGAAAGCAAGGCATTTGTTGTGCCTGTTTAGACAATGTCTTCCAGATCCTGTAATGCCATGAGAATATTGCTCATGGGCCAAGGGGCCTGTTTAGCTCTTGAGCCTAGGCAGGTGTTGGGGACACATGGGTCCTGATCAGCTGCTGTTCCTGCTTTTGCAGGCTACAATGCCTGGAGGCACTTCTGCGGGCTCTCCCAGCCTCAAAACGTAGATGAACTCTCTGAGGTGCTAGGCAGTTCCAAACTGGCCAAGAAATTCATGGACTTGTATGGGACACCGGACAATATTGACCTCTGGATTGGGGCAATCGCAGAGCCCTTTGTTCCCCGTGGCAGAGTTGGACCCCTCCTGGCCTGCATCATTGGAACCCAGTTCAGGAACCTGCGTGATGGGGACAGGTAAGTAGCTCTGAGGACAAACCATCCCCATGGCATTTATTGTGGGGAAAAAATGCCAACATTTTATGCGACACACTAATCCAGCCCATCTCCCCTACCCCAGTGTGTGCTCCCAACAAGACTCATACCTTGGTTTTAGACCAGTTGAGAAAGGACTCTTTTTTCAAGCCCATTTCTACAGACCCATGCAGTTGAGGAGCACCAGCTCCAAGCCATGGGTGATCTGCAGTAGTCTCTGCCTGAGGTGACATTTGCTCTCAGGCTACAAAAGGGGAAGATTTGTCACTGCATCCCAGCAGCCCGGTGGTGCTGCACAGAAGAGGCAGGCTCTCTGCACTGGCAGATGAGTGGCAGAATCCAGACCTGGCCATGCCTGGAGACACCTCTTTCTAAAGGCATGTGCCAACTACCTGATGAATCAAGGTGGACCTGAGCAGAGACTCACCTTGGTCAGATTCCCTTCTTGGCAAGTAACCAGCACCAAACGCCTTCAAGGAGACTGTAAGCTGCTTCTGAAAATATCATTGCAGATTCTGGTGGGAGAAACCGGGAGTTTTCACTCCGCAGCAGTTGCATGCACTGAGAAAAATCTCACTGTCAGCTGTGATCTGTGACAATACTCGTATCAAAAAGATACCCAGGGATGTGTTCAAGGTCAACAGTTATCCTGAGAACTTCGTTGACTGCCATGAGATTGATGTGCTCGACCTCTCACCCTGGAAAGATGAGTCTGAGAGTGGCACAAAAGGTGAGCAGTTGTCTCTCAAAAATAATCAATGTCCTACGAGGTCAGACTCTTGTGCACCTAAAGCAATAAAAGAATTGGAGAGGGACTTTTCACAAGGGTGTGTAGTGATAGGGCAAGGGGGAATAGCTCTAAACTAAAAGAGGGCAGATTTAGATTAGATATTAGGAAGAAATTCTTCCCCATGAGGGTGGTGAGGCACTGGCCCAGGTTGCCCAGAGAAGCTGCGGCTGCCCCCTCCCTGGCAGTGTTCAAGGCCAGGCTGGATGGAGCTCTGAGCACCCTGGGCTGGTGGAAGATGTCCCTGCGCATGGCAGGGGGCTTGGAAGCAGATGAGCTTTAAGGTCCCTTCCAACACAAACCATTCTATGATTCTATGAATTAAGATCATCACAGTTACTCTGCCCCCCAAAACATGTTGACCATCCCTTCAGCCCCACCCAGACACCACTGGAGGTGGGCATGCTGTTAGCCTAGTCTCCTTCAATCCATCACCGTCATCATCCCTGAGTAGCCTGCCTCTTCCTCTTCAACTAGATGGGAAATCCCTGAAAATCCAGTCTGTTTTGGTCCTTGTGAAGGTGTCCTTCTCTAAGCACCTGATTCCAGGACGACAGGAGTCTTCCTTTGCAGGCCCATGAAGAAATCAATCAGCCCCACAATTAGCTAACCTGCTTCAAATTCTTACTTTGAGACTCCAAGCCCCTGCTCTCCCTTTGTGTTAAAGCATTTTAAGATATAGCTGGAGCTGTTTTGAGCCTGTATGGCCTGACACACCCATAGTTTAATATGCATAGTCAGAGATTATGATGTGTCACATGCTGAAAGACAGTAAAACAGTGTCCTCATACAGGAGATGAGGAACTAGCTGTGTCCTCTTACTGATAAATTTTTGGCATGTGTTCTCCCAGTTGGAAAAAATGAAGGGAGAACAGAGACTTGCAGAAGACGGGCATGGCCGGAGCAGAATAGACTAGATGGAATTTTTCCTTCTGGCAGCCCATTTATAGATGATCACGATACCTGGGGATCACACACTCTGTCCTTCTGCAAGGCACAGACCACGTAGCATCTCCATGCAATTCCTGTACTGAGTTTGATTAGCTGTATTAGAGACAGACACTGTGTTTGAGAGAGACATTTGCACTCTATCAAGGCTAAATTATGGTGACTTCACCCCATTCTTTAGGAACAGAGTCCAGCTGATGCTCACCTTCTCTGTAAACAACAGCAGCTTCCTGATTTCTTTTGTTAACTTAGTCTTACAGTCACTAAAATTTGCTTAGCCACTTCCTGTGGCTCTTTTATCACCAGGCTGGGAGGAAGCTGAGCTGTGTTTGCATAACCCAGAGACAGTGAAATCCCAGCTTGTTAAACTGCAACCGCTAACAGTTTAACCTTTTCAAGTGCCAAGAAATTGCCCCAGAAGCACTCGTCCCAAGGGCTGGCTGATGTTAGGTCACTGGAGGTACCTTTTGGCAAGGTTGGAAGCACCGCGGTGTCTCGGAGGTACAAGAACCTCTGTGGTGACCTGGTACTCAGTTACCCATTCACCAGTGACTATTTTAGCTATGGAGTCAAATAAAATTGTGGGCAGAAATACTGTGTCCCAGAAAGACTTTCTGCCTCTCAGGAGCTTTTTCTGCTTCGTTGACAGTTTCTAATCCTGCTCTTCAGACCAGCGCTGGAAACTCCTAACGGTGGCACTGAGCTGCTCTTGGGAAACTGCTCCCTGTACGTTGCGTTCAGCTGACTGCTGTCAACCGAACCTCGGCACGTGATCTCCCAGAGAGGAGCTTCAGACTACGTCTGCTGTTTTATTGGCTATGCTGTTATTTTTCATGTAATTTATTTGTAACAGCTTCCAGTAATGTAAGTCTTCAGACAGAAGGGTAATGGCATTTTTTGTCTGTTGCCCTAAAAAAAAATGTTCAGAGGTGTGCAAGACTTGGTTAGATGCTGGATGCTTTATGACTCTCTAAAGGCACAATGAAGACAATTTTTTTTAATTCCCATCCTCTATGGGTGTCAGATCCACAAGCTGGCATGCCTGCATTTCAGAATCAAATTTCTTATCTGTTGTACCTGCTCAGAGATCAGCACGTTCACGTAAGGTTTGTCAAAACTTTTCTTATCTGCTCCTTGTTTTGCACTGTTTAGGCTGTTTCTAATTAGTGGTGAGAGTTCAGTCTTTGAAGACACTGGAGAATGGCAGCTGCATCTTGAAGCCTAGAGACATCTTTTATTTAAATCTTACAGCAAATACGTGTGTTTGGGTGTGCTGGGTATTAATAAAATACATTGTATGCACTCATCTACATTTGGCACCAATTCTGGTATGTCAAATGTGTCCAAAGCATTCTTTGGCTGTGCTTCATAGCTAAAGATATCAGCATAAGAAAAGCAAATCATAACCTGGCTGGTGTGTAAATCACAAGCATTAGGGCTAAAAACCAATCATCTGGCTGGGATGATCGCTCCCAAGACCATATCAAGTCAACAAATACCAAACACCTCAAAATCGTATAAAGTTTCAATCTCTCCTTGGCACAGCAGCGAGGGAAGGAGGGGACCGGGAGCAAACAGGCGGGCAGCCTAAGGTGGAGTCAGCAGTGAAGCCTCTGGGTGCAGCAGGTGCCTCTGAGGAGGCCTGAGGAGGGAGATGCTTGGTAGAATCCCGTGGCTAGGGGCCCCGGGTGAGCGACGGAGGAGGGGGACCGTGCTCATCCTGGAGTCCCCAACGTGTGGGGAGCGGGGAAAGGCTGTGGTGACCCTGAGCAGAGGAAGGCAAGGCAAAACCAGGCGATGGTCAGAGATCAGGACCTGCAGAGTGTATTTGGACTGAAAAATACATAGGTTGTGTTAAAAATCGTGAGATCATCAGGGCATGGCAAGGAGGTCAAGCAATGCATTTCTGCTGTTTGCCTCTGGCTTCCGAGTCTACAGGCATGTTCCCCTCACACTTTCAAGATCTGTCCAACCACTTCAGGCAAAATCTGGCTTTGCTTAACAGGAAGGCTAAGAAAAATGAAGAAACCACCAACCCGGCAGACACAGTAAGGTCTTTAATTCCCCTCTCCCAAAGCTTCCTTGCCTTTCTCCTCTCGGGGCAGAGGTATCTCCCAAGTCCACCGCACAGAAAAAGGCAGGAGACAGTGCCTTCTCCTGAGGGTGCTGCCAGGGGAATGTGGCAGCCCTAAAACCCACAGCCACTCCCCTAGGAAGGATGGCCATGGGCTATAGCATAAATGCCTCTACTCATTGGTTTGGAATAGGAAAAGTTGATTATAAGATACCCACAGGAAAAGTCTGGCTCTGCCTGTGGTCCAGCTGGAGAGAAGGTCTCAGGGTTACGATTACAAAGAAATGTTCAGCTACCCACCGTGCGCCTGGCCACGCAGGTAGCACTGTTCTCTGGGAGGAGCATGGCAACAATTTCACCACCACCACTTGCAAGATTTTCTTCCTCTGTGGATGTGTCACCTGCCTCTGGTATGTTGAGATTGCAGTCCATGGTTGTCTCTGCTTCCAGACCTTCTCGTGGTTGCCATGCCCTCCCGCTCAGCTGCTACACACACTGCTTCCCAGTGCTAATGGGAAGCCCCGTTCACCATCCCCGATATATCCTGATAGGTGGCGAGCATGGCGTCACGGACCTGCTCAGTGAGCTTGGGAACATCGTCCGGGCCCAGGCCAAGGGTCTCCACTTCTGGGAGGATCTGGATGATGATTTTCCCTGGAAGAGTGAGACAGGAGGGTCAGAGAGGGAGGAAGGAAATAAGTGAGTAGAGTAGAAGAGCAAGAGCCGATATAGCAAAGGGATCTTTACAAACAAAGGAACAAGACAGAAAGGAAGGGAAATGCCCTCTTTCACACATCAACAGCTCTGCAGCAACTCAGCCCTGTCCCAGATGCACACAGCAAAAACCCAGCTCACAGAGACCACAAAAACCATAAAAACCAAAACGGTTGAATCTCTCCCCAGATACATCCACTGCAATGATTCATATCAAATAAGTTTTCGTAATGGAAAGACCTCAGGGTCTGTCTGGATCATGGCAAAGAGAATTAAGTGTCTGTAATACAACACATCCAAACCGGCCGTGCGCTGATCCATGTATATCAAATTCAGCAGAGTCCCTGCTTCCAGAAACATGCTTTGGGATGAGAGAAATTGCACCCAAGACTCCCTGTTTGGCCAAGGTCTGTCAGGTGGGAAGCACCTGAGCAATGGACTGGTGCGAACAGGAAGAATATACTGGGGTGCTGTCATCATGCTCTTCTGCTCTTGCACCTAGTGGCCCTTGTTCTGGCCAGTGCAGACAAGATGCTGCCTGCACAGACACCCACCTGAGGATCTGGGGAGTGTCTGTGTTACTTTTTAACTTTCTTGCATGCCCTCACATGTGTGCTAGGAAATGAGATCCAGAAGTGTTGCTAGCAGAGCCGTGCAAGGGAGGCAGCACAGAAGTGTAGAGAAGAGCTTCACAAAAGGAGAAGGCACGTTCCCTCTGCCTGCACATCTTACATCCAAAGCTAGGTCTGGTGTCTCAGGATCTGCTATGCTTCACTTGGCCCTACTGAAAAAGCTAAGTGATGACGGGGCTGTGCTGACAAGGTAGGTCTGTTGGGGCATAATGGACTTCCAGCAAGCACCAGACATCCTCCATGCATGACAGTGTGCACAAGCTGGCCACAGAGTTGGGCTTTCCAGAAGCTCATCAGCATGCCCAGAGCGACTGTGGACATGGCAAGCTGTCCTGACCTGCTCAAAACACAGAAATGTTTGCTATGTGTAGCAAACCTTCAGAATCAGCCCTGACAAAACTTCTGGGTGGGAAAAGTGGGGAGATAAAGGAAAAGTTAATTGTAGTTCTTTCTCCAGCTTTCTCCAGCTTTCTCCAGCTTCCAGAACCACAAGGCTTTGGTGTGCCCAACAGAGACAGGGTAGATCCAGCAGGTGAAAGATGAGTAGAAACAGACAATGTGGTGTTTAACATTTGCACCCACTCTCTCTTCCAGGTGTCTGCTTGTAAGGAACGACTACACCCAGGTACAAACAGTGGGAGGAAAGAGAATTTCAGGTGCAAATCCTCCCCTTAGGAAACAGCAGGGCTGGCTTGGGGGAGGGTGGGAAGTGGCAGAAGCCCATTTTGGGGTGGGGGTCAGGTAAGAAAGTGGAAGAACAGGGTAGGTTACTCTGTTGGAATTTGAAAGATTTTTTCTGCATTTTCCTTTTGAAGCCCATGACTTCTGTCTTTTTTTCCCCATAAAATTTATCAGTGACAGCAGAAATTTTTGTCACCATAAATGGATGAAACATGGAAAGAACAGGGTAACTGGGAGTAGACATGCTCTCAGCATGACTTTTCCTGAGCTCTATGTTTGCTTTTGGTCCCCAACTTTCCATGCACCTGCAGATCCAAGGACAGTGTGGTGGGGCTAGGGACAGGACCTGCTCCAGGACTCTGATTGTTCTCCAGGTTTCCTCACAGGGGTATTGGACAAGCTATGAGAATGGACTGTACTTTTGCCAAGAAAGGTTGGACCAGATGATTCTTGAAGTCCCTTCCAACCTGATATTCTATGATTCTATGATTGAAATCCAAGGGGAGATGCAAAAGTGATGCCTGAAATCCCCCATTCCCTCCACTCTTGAGATGACAGAAACTGCCATTGTCCGACTGCTATCTCCACACTGCACATGGTCCTCTGCACACCCACCTCATGGCTCCCTCCAAGGACTGAGCTCGCACCAACACCCAGCCCGCTCTCTGCACCATGTCATCCTCACCTGGTGTAAATCTCTTCTCCTTCTGGCTGTAGAAGTCACGGTAGGAAGAGATCACCGCAGGAATAATGGGGACCTGGAGGAGAGGCAGTCTACTGTGAATCTACAAATTTCCACATTCCTCCCCCAAAAAGAAATTGAAGTTCTTCAGTGAATCCTGCACTTTACTGACAGTTATCCCAGTCAGCTTCATAGCAGGCACTCAGAAGGATATTTAGATCATTTGACTGTGTCACCCCACGTCCTCGCTTTTGGTTTTTTGCACTTTCTTCTCTGTATTTAGGCCAACAATGTATGGATTGCCAAATTAGTATGTACAGAAACCTCTTCAGCAGAAACTCCCCTAGGGCAGGTCCAGGGCTCTTGTCAAGGTCCCCCCACTTTTCTCCCAAGCAAAGTCATGAAGGTTTTTCACCTGTCCAAGAACCAGCCCCCTCCTGTGTCATCTGCAAGCTCCTGCCAGGCTCTTGGATGCATGCTTGATCTAAAGGGAAACCAGGGACCAGAAGGCAGATAGCCCTGTTTGCTGGTGGACCATGGTAGGCAAATGGGACCCCAAGGGGCAGGAGGAAGGTGGCTCTCACCTGGGCTTTCACAGCCAACTGGAAGGCTCCCCGTTTGAAGGGCAACATGGAGCCACCATGATTGCGAGTTCCTTCAGGGTAGATCAAGACACGGAACTGCATGAGAGAAAAGACATTGAGACAGAGGGACCTCCAGTTACTATTCTAAACCACCGTGCAAGTGTACTCCCCTGGGACTAATCTATCTGGTCCTGACCATGCAGAGACATCCAATTTCTACACTTCAAGCATTTCATGGACACACAACACACTGAACCCACCAGTGATGCTCTTAATCTGTTCTTCCCGGTGCCCAGCCCAGAGACAAAGATTCCTTTCCAGCCACATCGAGGTTCATGTTTTCCAGTGGCTCTTCACCAAAGAGTCCTCCCCACTCACATTGTCTTTGTGCAGGGAGTGTGCCACCTCTGTCAAGGTAGCGATAGACTCTTCCTTCTTCTTGCGGTCAATGAAAATAAATCCTGAAAGCCAGCATGCTAGGCCAAAAGACCCCATATATAGGATTTCCTTCTTTGCAACGACCACGCAGCGATTTGGTAATATCTCCGTCATCACTGGAAAGGGACAACAAGGACAGAACAAGTTGTCATCTGCACTTGGGTTTCCTCCAGATTTTGGGCTAGAGCCCTCTGCTCTGGGAGGTGCCAAGCCTGCAGCACTTATCCAGCTTCACAGGATCAAAAATTTGTTGGGAAAGGGATTCTGGGAGTCTCCAGACCAGACTTCTCTTGGAGGGGGACTATTGCTGACACCGAGCAAGAGCAGCTACAACACAGTTGTGGTCAACTGACACTCTCATCCCCATTCTCTTGGAAAGGATGAAGCCAATTTAGCTTGAAAATACCTGTTGGGCTCTAATATCCTGAAGAACAGCCCTGGCTTGGGGCTGGCTGGTAATGAACTGCCTAGCAGCCACTACTTCCCCACTGCGTCTGGCACTTGGGATTTCGTATGACCCTCCCCTACAGACAGCTGGGGCCAGGAGCAGGACGCAGGATCACCACATACCCATAACGTCAAGGGAGGTCTGGTGATTCAACACGAGGATGAAAGGTTTCTTAGTCCTGAGGTGCTCCTTGCCCTTCACAACTATCTTGAGCCCAAAGATGTATTTGAGTGGCAGGGATGACATGCGGAAAAACCTGGAAAAGAGGAGCAGTCATAAGCCAAAGAAACACTGAATTGGGTAAAGGAACCAAGCACTGTTCTTCCAAACCAACCCATCTCACAGACTGCTCCTGTGGAGTAGCCTGTTTCTCCGCACTCCTGGGTTTGTTCTGTGACTTGAAGAAAGGCAACTAGTACATGTTCTCAGCTCATCACTTCATTAGAGAAGACAAATAGCCCTGGTAGATTTTCTTCAAGCCAGGTTAGACCATGGCCTAGCAACTTCAGCTACAGTAATTCTGTGGATCAGTCACATATTAGATAATGTCCAAATTCCTAGTGCACCTGTACTCTACTTCCCTGCCCACCTGGCTGTATTATGAACACAGGCTGCCACAAACATGCCAGGCACCTAACTCTGCTATTGCCCGTGCTGTGGAAAGAGATGATTTTGCCTCTGGGTGACATTAGACTGCAATTCTGGTAGCCATATTTTAACCAATACTGCAAAAATAAAGAAAAGAATAAAAGTCAGGCACAGAAGTCAAGAACTGAAGAAAATTTCTTAAAGTGAAAGGCTGATGCTCAATGAAGAGATACAAACTCCCACTGCAGCATGGAACAACGAAGTAGTAGATCCTGCCTCTGCGGCACTTCAAGAGGCTGCAAGCTCTACGCTGCCGTGTAGCCAAGCCAGCTTCTAGCCCTCACTCAACCCACGCCCCAAGTTACTAATGCCCACTGCTGCTAATCCCACGCGTACGCCCAGCTGCACAGCCTCCGGGTAAGTCCAGCAGCTTGTTGCAGAGGCAGTAAGAGATGAAGAGATGGGATGGGCAGCAAGGGGACCATCTCAGAGACTGCCAAACCTGGGGACATCAGGCTGCAATTGCAGCCAAGGGGACATCAGTGTCAACGAAGGCCCTAGCACTGCTCTGTGGCAATGTCTGCTCGTGCCTTTTCAGGTGGGCATGGGCTCAGAATAAAGTTGAGAAAAAGAAGAGCACCTGCAGAGGCTTTCTCAGCACAGCTCAGCAGGGGAATGACCAGCCACATGGAGGAGGGACATATGGCTCTGAAGACCAGACAGGAGAGGTTTCCTGAAAACAGCAAGTTACTTTACCTGTGCATTACATCTAGTTGGCTGGCATTACCTAGTTTGTTGAATTTATGTCACCTTCCATATCCTTTCCTTCCACCATTCATTATTCTGTCTATCAACTCAAACACAATACTGAAACCCACATCCCTCCTCTGAATCACAAAGCCTGTCAATTCCTCACACCAATACACAACTGATTCCCCCCAACTCCAGCGCAGCTCCCAGGACCCTCCAAAACAGAGCGCGAGTTGACTCTGTCAAAGCCCAGAGCAGAAAGAAGCCACAGATAACTTACTTGGAGTTTTCCACATTACGTCCACGCGGAATACTGAGCATAATAACCAGAATGCTTGCATTGAAGACCCACAGCTTATAGAAGACTTTCTTGCAGGAGTATCTAAATGTAGGTTTCACCTGGTACAGGACTAGAAGCGAGATGAACAGAAAAGTAAACGGGTAGTAAAGGAGAAAAAGCTCCATCCTTCCAGCCCAGAGTCAACCAGAGGAGTGTTGCACAGAGCAGCACGAGCACCCGATATTGTGAAGCAGAGTTTAGATTCCTTTGTGGGTGGCGCAAAGCTAGAACACTGCTCAGAGCTAAACTAACTGTGGAAAGCCGGTTTAGCAAGGGATCTCCAGCAGCATTGTGTGTAGGAGCTGTCTGGCAAGCAGGGGCAAATGTACAACAAGAAGGCTGCCTGCATACAAGGGGGGTGTGTGGCTCTGGGCTGGTAGAGCAATGACTGCTTGGAGATGCAACCCCCGTTCAGGGGGACTCTATGAGTAGGAACCCTGAGAACTTCTCAGAAAATTCTCAGTGGGAGGGAGCGGGATGTGCTGGACAGGACAGACACCAGGCTGTCCCACATTCTGTGCAAGCATTGAGCTTCACCAAGAAGTGAGCTGACTGCAAGATGCCCAGGAAATCAGAAATTAGCATTATGGAGGAGAGAAAGAGAAAAAAACCAGTGATCCTAGCAGCCAGCTCCTGCCCCACAAATCTAGGCATTGGAGGGACCACATTGAACAACTGGACATTCCTCAAGTAGAGTGGAAAAGTGGCAAAAGTGTCTAGACAAAAAGACAAACAAAGCAAGAGCAGCTGCTCCTGAGGTTTTCATGGCCAGAGGCAGGCACATGCTCAGACAGCGTTTGCATATACAAGAAGTAAATCAGGGAAACGCAAGTATACTCTGGGAGTGCTCCAGCTGCATTTCATCTCCTAAACTCACTGCATAAAAAGGATCTTTGCAACAAGTACAATGACAAGGCTGAAACACAAAAGCTTCATATTTCTTCATCTGCACAACAGACCTTGCTCAAGCGGCTGCCACTGAAGAGGAGTAACAACATCAAATTCCAGCCAGGACTGAAAGCTGCAGGTTCTCAAAAGGGAATAGTCCGAGAACCAATAAAACCACATTGTCACCTGCAACCTAAAGAACAAGGTCAAATCCCAAAGAACAGTAAAACGGTCAAGCCTCAGCAATATTTCATGAAGAAACTGAGGAAAGGCATGATAATTAAGAAAGGCATTGCCTGTGCCCCCTGATCATTTGACTTAGCCAGGGACCTATCTTCTCCTGTCTTTTGTCGGGAAAACTGGAGGGAAGGGACTGCAGAAGGTCTCCCAAGGCTTCTCTGCAGCCACAGGAGAGGCAGCCAAAGCAAAGAGCTTTGGCCACAGCTTCCCTGCTGTCCCTGCACCAGCATGTGGAAAAGACGAGCACCTCATGGGCACACACTGGAGCCAGGCACTGTGACCCCTCTACGTGCGGCGCTGCAGAGACCAGCTCCCTTTCGGAGCCAGTTCGTAGATGTTAGCCATGGCTGCTTTGTGCTTATCGAAGGTCTAATCCAGCAAACAGTTACCTTCCTAATGCTTATTAACCTTCTTAATATCTCATCAGTGTCAATTATGGCCTTTTGCAATTGGGTGGAGGTTGATCTGATGTGCAACTGGTTCATCCTGACCTACCAGGAGAGACATTCCTAAAACGTAATGCCAGTGAAAGGCACTGTGAGAGGCTGTCCTGCAAGGGCAGCTGCAGCCTTCAAATCAAGCCTGCTGCTGTCAGGCTCCTAATGCAAGAGGAACACCTCACACAACTCTGCACGCGAAAACTCACTCAGAATTTCCAGGGACAGGGAAGCGTGAAAACAGGAACTCATCCTAAACCACTGAAAAGCTTTATTTTCAGCAATTTTCAAATACTTTCATCAAGACTGTAAGGAAATCATGCTTCCATAGTGTACAGCCCAGTACCAAACAGGCACCAAGCTGTAGCAAGTTGATGACTTACCCAGAGGAACACAGCAACCCTAAAATACAGCTGATCTACTGGAACACAAGATCCTGCACCCGAGGAAAAGACAGAAAAATGTCTCCAGCACAAATGGCGGTGCCCACATGGTGAAAACGAAGCATAACCAGAGGCCCCACATAAGCAGACTTACAAGTGTGAGCATCTCTGAAACGCCTGGTGTGGTCAGCTGTGAGAGGAGTGGCTCTCCATGTCACCACCTAACTGAGGAACAGCCAACATCAACCAAGCTGTTCTGTGCAGAAAGGTACCTCCGCACACTCAGAGCACTGAGAGCAGACACAGTCTGAAGAAGACATCAGATACGCAAGAGCTTGAAGCTAGACTCATGTTTATTTGGGGCTTTCAACAGCTGGTAAGTATCTACCACGAGCATGGGAAAAGGCAAGGACGTAAAGCGATAACAAAAATGATGCCATTCCCAGCTCACGGCCAGCTCAAATCTAACAAAACATTTAGGCTCCAAACCCACAGACAGTAAAATCCTCAGCTGCAATCTTCTTCTTTTGCAAGGATCCCCTTCACCTAGATGCATCATGCTTCCATTTCAAAAGCAGTCAGGTCTCACCTAACCTGCAAGGCGTTTTCAGAAACTACAGCTCTAACTGTCTAAGCTCCTGGTTCCCAGACTAAATGTATCCATCCTCAGTCGACTCCCTTTCGCCCCTGGGTCTTTGCACCCTTTTCAGAGCCTGGCTCTATTAAGCCAATCTTACACAGGGAGAGGAGGGGCTTGCTCCTATCATCAGCTTTCATCATGCAGCTTTAACGACTCTCCTACTCACCAGCTCTGCTAAGTGATACCTTGGCCAGGAGAGAGAGGTGCAGGCAGGCAAGGTGATCTAATCTAATGGGAAAAGGCTACGAAAATTGTCTTGGTTGTGGCAAGCAAATGAAGGCTCAGGAGAAAACGGACTGCCAATATGGCAACGCTAGAGAGAGAGAAGAGTTGCTGAAGTTAAAGAGGACTGGATTCTGAAATGGGAGCAATTCCCCGCTGGAAACTGCTGGCACAAATAGCTCCACTGGAACAGACCGGGACAAACTATCAAAAGGCAAAGTTCTGGGGCTGCTCAGTGCCAAGCACCACATCAGCCACCCAGCCTTCAAAAGGAGAACAGTACTAAAGGGTACTAACTGAACAGTACTAACTTATCCGGAGCATGCAGTTACTACTCAGTTAAATAGAGGCATTAACATTGATATTAAAAACTTCAGAAGGATTCCAGGATAAATATATTAGTCATCAAGACTGAGGAAACTACTAATTATGCTCCGGCTGCAGCTCCATGACTAATCCATGCATCACTCAGTTTTATGAGGCAGAGATAAGCTTTGGATACCTACTTATGGGCAAAGACATAGCTTGAAATTTTCATAATGACAAGAGAAGAGTTTCTACAAGAAAATGTGTCCTGACTCCTGATTTCCATGGCATCCAGACATCCCTGACAGAGACATCATGCAACAGGCTAGAATAGCTTGTGCTATAGGACTTCACAGAATCACAGAATGGTAGGGGTTGGAAGGGACCTCTGTGGGTCATCTAGTCCAACCCTCCTGCCGAAGCAGGGTCACCTACAGTAGGTTGTAGAGGACCTTGTCCAGGTGGGTCTGGAATATCTCCAGAGAAGGAGACTCCACAACCTCCCTGGGCAGCCAAAGGGTTGGCGCACACTACAGCCAGGTGAACTGCAGGCTGGAAAATAGATCAATTCATCGCTGTTAGCCCCAGAAAAACTAAGGTGAGAAGGGACCCCTGGAAGTCTGCCATACAGCCAGCAACTCAGAGCAGGGTTAATGCCAAAACCAGCTTAGCTGGCTCAGGGCCTTGTCTAGGCAAGTTTGGAGAACCTCCAAGGATGGAGATCCCACTAGCTCTCTGGTCCCTGTGTCCGCATTGCACCACTGTCATGGGGAACAACAATTTTCTTTGTCTAATGGGGATTTCCCTTGTTGCAACCTGTGTCTATTACTCTCATCCTGTGTGCACCAGAGAAGAGTCTGGCTTCATAGCTGCTTATTAGGAAGTTGAAGACTAAAAACAAATCACCCCCCCCTTTCTCCTTTTCTGCAGGCTGAGCAAATACAGCTTCCTCAGCCTTTCTTTGTACATCACGTGCTCCAGCCCACTGACCACCTTGGTGGGTCTCCACTCAAGTGGCATCATTACTGGGAAGGTCTTAAGCAAGATGGACTCAGGATGGACATCCATTCCCAGCGCTGAAAGAGGTGGGGAGGCTGCAGGTGTGAAAGCAAGTGAACGCGAAGCCCCGACAGAGCTGGGAGGGAGAGCTGCATTTCTGAAATCTGCAGCAGAGGCTGAGCAGGGCAAGCCATCCCGTCCCAGCTCCTGCAGGCTATGTCCCCCATCTCAGTGGCTCCACCAGCCAGGCAAGGCATGCTCCAGGCAGTCCTACGGACAGCCCCGTCCTGCCGCGCACGCGTTTCCGTGGGTTTGATCAGGCAGTCAGCCTTTTCAGCTAAAATTGGAAAAGTATGTCCTCTGTGCTTAGTGCATGCAAAAAGATGGTGGGTGATGCTGAGGCAGTCATTTCCTCTCTCGTAAGTTAATTGCCGAAGTCAAAAGGCAATAAATGAGGCCTCGTCTGTCCCCGAGGGGCTGACAGATGCTGGAGGTGCACACATTACGGTTAGACAACCAGTACTAGAAAACTAAAGCCAGGGACTGAGACACACATCCCCCGTGTAGTCACGCATCTCACACCCAGCAAATCTACTGACTCCCTTGATGGAACCAGGAACTTACCCAAGAAACAGTGGGCTTCAACCCACTCCTAGGCCAAGCTCGCCTGCTTTCTGTCATCAAAACGTGTCCGGGCTTATGTCCACCAGCTACACGCCTGGGCGTTACGCAGCCCCAGCATTGCCCCCCCACCAAGTGCTGGCAGAAATAGGTACCTGTGCCTCATCGTTTTCTCTGAGGATCTCATGGGCACTCTTCCCATTTTTGGGGTGATAAGGAGGAGATTATTGTCAAGTGTTTGTTGGAACTAAATCCCTCAGCCAGCCCCTTTCTCTGTGGGATATTTCATAACGCCACACGACACAGGAGTATGGGTCAGAGACCTCAGCAAGAAATACCTTCTGTCACTCAATATACACAGGTTTTTGGATCTGCTTTGTCCAATAGCC